CTGGTGTGTGTGAGTGCTCACTGACGTGTGCCTGGCTAAAGGTCTGCGCTGATTGGCCTGATTTACTCAATAATTACTCCTTTATTATAAATAATAGAAAAAAATGGTTCAGGACTTTTCGACTCAGTTTTACTCCTTCTACCTGCCTACGAGACCCTGTATATATTATATATATTATAATATATATATATATATTATTCCTATCTTCGCTAAATGAACGTTATTTGCCATGTTTAGTTTTAGTTTAATTTTCTTACAAATAAACGGAATGGAAACTTGAATAATTGTTTTGGTTACGATACCAATCCAAATCTGTTCAGCAGATCTTTTATCAACAGATAACAGTTGTCTGCTTCTGGTACTGCCATATATATAGTATTATTTATATGGGTACATTAGTTCGTTCCATCTTGCTTAACTGAACACAGCCCAGGCTTCTCTCTGATACTATCTACTCCCATTGTAGACGGCCCTTGAGTTCCAACGTAACCGTCGTCACTGAAGTATCGTTTCTCGGTCTTCTTCAGTCGACAACATAATTTTTTGATTTTATAAGCAAAGCAAAGCATAGCGTATGTTTTGCTATAGTAGTCTTTGTGTATTCTTTATATTCTAGAATGGCGTATGGACTAACTTAACTCGGTCCACTGAGCCAATTTTGCACCAAACCAAACCGTAGACGGCCCTTAATAGATGAAATGAGAAAACCCAAGAAAATGCATTAACGTGTTTTCGCTCACGAGCGCCACGATGTCTACGTTTTGCGCACATGAAATATATATATAGCACGAATTGTACTTAAGACCAGTAAGATGGCGCTAGTTGTTTCGTTGTCGGCTGAAAGATCAAGTACTTATCACTCGTACGATTGTGTTACCGCATGTGTATGCAAGAACCTGGACGAGAAATCGATGGTGTTTTCGCAGTTGTGATTCGCACCACCTTCATCTATATTCGCAATTGTGCGACAACTTTGATATTTATTACTGCGAGATTTTTTTAATCGCGACAGCTGCATCGCTTACTTAAGTCGTTAACTAAGATTTCTCAGAGCGATTTTCACAGTAGAAAAAAAAATGTTGACACCGCAAGTAAGGGACAAGAGCGTGTTTACTCCCGCGTGAAACCGCTTCAGGATCACTGCTTTTGGTTTCCAGGCGACAGTCGTTAATTACATCTTCGGCAGACGCGTTTGTGCGCTACGGAGTTTCTTGAGAAGCAATTTTTCGGTATCGATCAGTTCCAAGGGAAATATGTCGTTCGAGGAAGAGAAACGTAAGAAATTGCAAATAAGATGAGTGGCGACAAGACGAGAAGACTGCGAGATTTCGTTTAAAATTAATTCTGCTATAACTTTTTGTTTCTGTAATTTAGAAAAATTCTTGAAAATGCCACCGGAGGAGAAGAGAAAATATTACAAGTCGGAAGTGACAACTCTGGATCAGGTTCCAACATTGCCGGAATATTCTGATGAATTTCAATCAAACATTGCTAAAAAATTATCAATGTGGCAGGGTGATATAACGTCGCTTGAAATAGATGCCATTGTCAATGCCGCAAATTCAAGTCTTTTGGGAGGTGGCGGAGGTACGAGATAATGTTCTTATATCCAAAATTTTGTGTGCGAGATTTTATATATACGTGTATACATACATTTTTGTATATATATATACTTAAATGTTCTTACAATAAAAAATAATAAAAAAGATATTCTCTCTAGTTGACGGAGCTATTCACAGAGGGGCAGGACCAAATTTAAAGAAAGAGTGCGCAACATTGGGAGGATGTAGCGTTGGCAAGGCTAAAATCACAGGAGGTTACATGCTGCCGGCTAAGTGTCAGTAACTTGTTACAAAAAAATTGGTAAACTTCTGCTGTTATCTATATTTTTGCTGAAATAAAAATTTATGTGTCTAAACAATTGCATTTCAGATGTTATTCATACTGTTGGTCCTCAGGGTGAGAAACCGGACAAGTTGAGAGAGTGTTACGAAAATAGTCTGGCACTTGCCAAAGAGCATAATTTGCGTACCATTGCATTTCCCTGCATATCAACCGGAATTTACGGATATCCGCAGAGACCTGCGGCCGAAGTGGCTTTGTCAACGGTCAAAAAGTTTCTTCTCGAGAACAAAGATGCTGTAAGATTTTGCGAGTGCATATATACAGGGTGTCCCAGAATTGCCGTACAATCTCTCGCAGGCAGGTAGAAGGAATAAAACTGAGTCGAAAAGTCCTGAACCATTTTTTTCTATTATTTATAATAAAGGATTAAATTATTGAGTAAATCAGGCCAATCAGCGCCGACCTTTAGCCAGGCGCGCGTCAGTGAACCGCGCGAAGCGCTCACACACACACACCAGGCGCGTGGCTAAAGGTCGGCGCTGATTGGCCTGATTTACTCAATAATTTACTCCTCTATTATAAATAATAGAAAAAAATGGTTCGGGACTTTTCGACTCAGTTTTACTCCTTTTACCTGCCTACGAGAGATTGTACGGCAATTCTGGGACACCCTGTATATATACATGTGTAAAGTGAAAAATCGTATTTTAATGATATTTTTTACAAAATTATTTTGTAATCTACAAATGTGCAACAAATTTTTCGTTTCCTTTTTTTTCAGATGGACAGAGTTATCTTCTGTTTGTTTTTAAAATCCGATAAGGAGATATACAAAGAGCTGCTGCCAAAATATTTCGCCGTTGAATGAACTCGTTCCCGAATTTTCAAGAATCTCGGCAATCTTGTCTCAAAAAGTCTGTAATATTTAATATATTCGCAAGAGGTTGTACTTTGGTTTGTCGATAAAAACTATTCATACAAAAAACATTACACAATTAATTTTATCACAGATAAAATTTTTTCTCCCGCTCTTAATTGTGTTTTGTATTTAAAACCAAAAAAAAAAAAACAATTTGCGAAGAAACATCGAATGTTGAAAAACTTTCGTGTCGCAAATTGATTGCAAATGTCATAAATTTTTTAAATGGCGCAACGTGCTTTATATGCGCGTGCCGTGTGTGAACGAACGAATCGGCGCGCGCGCACGCGCGCGGAGGTGACGGCGCGCCGCCATCTTGAAAAATCGAAGTATTGCACTCATGTCCGTACGTGGTGAATAGAGGTGGGGGACGGTCGGTCGGTCGTTAACGCGGTGGCATCACGGACGGGGAAATCTGTCACAAATGGACGAATATTCTTGAACGCGAGGAGGCCCAGGGTGCTTCGAGCACGTACGAGTCGCTTAAAATTTTGTCACGCGCAGCGTCGCTTCTAAGCATCGGCGCGTCGATCTTTGTTGCTCCGACCGTCGTCTTAAGCCACTGTTGTCGTCGTCACCGCCGCCTCCCAGGGACCACGAGAGTCTCTGCCGGTCTCTTCTCGAGAGAGACGTCCGATACGCCGTGGGCGAGAGGGTGCGCGATCGCGGGGAGAGTGAAGTGTGTTCGCGGCGTGTGCGAAAGAGAGAGAGAGAGAGAGAGAGAGAGAGAGAGAGAGAGAAGGAGGAGGAGTACAGTACAGTGCCGATAGTGGAGCCGTGTGGCGGTGGCGATCGCGTACGCCGGTCGGTGCCGTGTATAGGCTGTTCTCTGAGCGAGCGTCGCGCGAACGTGAGAGCCGAGTGTGTCCGAGCGTCGTCGTCGTCGTGTTCGTCGTGTTATATCCGCGATCGTCTCCCGACGTCGTCGTCGTCGTCGTGCCGTTGCACGAAGGAAGCTCCTCGTGCGGGGCCGCACCGTAATGGGCGAGCGTGACGTGCGTGCGGGACTCGCGGTGTGAGAACAAGCGGCAGCAGCAGCAGCAGCATCTTCTCCACATTCGACCTCTTCGCGTGTACAAACGTAAACGGTACATATAGGAAAGTAGAGAAACGTGTGCGCGCGCGGAGAAGCGGAGAGAAAGAAAGAGAGAGAGAGAGCGAGCGAAAATCGTAACTGTGCTGAGAACTAAACTTGGGTTAAAACGCGAAGTGAAAGAAGAAAAAGGACGAGAGAGACGAAGAGAGAAACAAGAAGGAGCCGCTGCTTGAGCATAGAGTCAAGAAACGAGAGACAAAACGAACGGAGGTCCCGTTCATCCTGAATGGCCGCTCGCTTTCTAGGTTACTGACGGGCAAGGCAGCGCAGGAAGGAGAGCGCGAGCGGAGAGAGAGAGAGAGAGAGAGAAACGAAACGTAAAGAGCGAAAGAAAACGGAAATCGGAAGAAGCGAGAAGAACTCCGAGAGAGAGTAAAGAGAGGACGATCCTGTGAGGAGAGGTAAAAACGACAACGAGAGAAAAAGAGACGGACATATTGGTTAAGGACTGAGGAAGGAGAGAGCGAGCGAGCGAGCGAGAGAGAGAGATAGAGAGAGAAAAGGAAAGAGAGGCACCAAACGACCGTGAGCGGCCGCGAGCGCTCTCGCGCGGGCGCGCGNGCACGCACGCACCCGCCGCCGCCGCCGCCGCTACTCCGATACGACTTGACGGCGGCGACTCCACCACCTCCGCCGATGTGCGGCTACCGAGGATTCAGCGCGCGTAAAACAACACCGTCGTGTCCCGGACCCCGTGCTATAATCTCGTGCTCGCCGGCGATACCTCGCCGCCGTCGTGAACGCCCGCTTCGCAGAAGCGTTGCCGACGACGGAAGTCGTCTGAGCCGTCGGTGCCGCTGCTGCTACCTGGTGCTGCTGTAGTTTTCGCGACACCGCCGCCACCACCACCATCACCACATCGTCACCAACACAATTGTAGCTGCCGCGAACATCACCGACATCAGCACCACCACCGCCGTCGCCTTCGCCCTGGTGTAAAGCTGCCGAGGCCCTGTCGAGGTTCATCTCGCATGTATGCATCTCGACGCGTGAGTATATGTGTTATCAGAAATATGTTCGAAGGGAGAGAGAGAAAAAATAAGATAAAACAGAAAGAAAGGACGGAAGGAAAAAGAGAAAAGTGGCGTACCGTTTCTATACGTATATACGAATGTGTGCGTGTGTGTGTGTGTGTGTGTGTGTATAGGTACACACGCGAGAGCTGCGTAGGTGAGAGCGCACACAGTGTGGTGAGTGTCCAAAAAAATCGGGTGGGGAGAGGCAACCGAGTTCGCCGCGAGGAGTCACTCCGCTTTTCTTGCTGTTCCCTTTCTCTCTCTCTCTCTCTCTCTCTCTCTTTCTTCGCTTCTTCTCCCTCTCTTTCTCTCTCTCGATTTGGCTCCGAGGAGGTTTCTTGCCGCCCGCTCTTTATATATATATATATATATATTTATATATTTATATATATTTATATTTCTGTCCTTTTCTTTTCTGTCTCTCTGTATATAAGCGACCTCTTCATCTCTCGGCGTTATTTCAATCGGAACTCGGTTTCTTAACCCTACATTTTCGTCTGTCACCACCTCCGCGATAAAACGTGGAGGAAACGTTCTCCTTCTGCGGGGAGAGCGGCTTTTCCTCGACCTCGTCGTCGTCGCGAGTAGCTTTCGCATCGGGATCGATGTTGCACGGAACGGATGTTGTGTTTGTGTATCCATGTTCCTTTTCCTCTTCGCGCGAACCATGTGCCGAAACCCAATCTCGAAAATTCTAAATGTTAGGTTAGGTTGTGCGCGTGACAAGTTCCCCAGCGCGCGCGATCTCTCGACAAATATTTAAATATTAAAATACACAGCAATAAAAGTCGTAATTATTCTTGGCGGTTTAATAGAGTCTCGTGCTCGTATTCGATGTTGTTTCCAATTTAAATACAAATGTGCAAATATTAAAACAAACACGCACACGCTCACGTTGAGAGCGTTCCGCATTCAACATGCGGAACGTGAGAAATAATATAAATAAATTCTTTTCTCTCAAAAATCAAGAAGAGATTCTTGATTTTGAGATTGAACGAATTTCTCGCAATTCTCTTCTCTTCAAATTTTTCTCCAACTTAACCCTAACTCGCCTACTTCCAAACTTTTAATTGTAAATAAAAAAAAAACACTTTGTCAAGAAGGATTTTTACTTTCCTTTAACACTAGATATACCAGCTGTTTAAATATACCTATTAAAAAATACCAAAAATATTTTTGTTACGAATATATATAAAGTAAACATTAAGTTCGAAAAAGGATTCTCTACTTGTAGCTACAAAAGTCATAACATCATTTCGGAAAGCAAATGTTAGGGGTAAACGGTACAGTTATTCGCCTTCCAACAGTAACTGGCCATGTAGTAAAGAAGTAATAAATATAAATAAATACTATCATTATATTCTAAATTATATAAACATTTTAATATTAATTAAGTTTTTTTTTGCTCCGAATAAAAGTAATATTATAGTATTTAAGAAGCTCAAAAACTTATTGTTATACNACAAACATTAACCAACTGGCCAACCACTGTTTTTAAGGTTATGGAAAACCATATGACAGTCATTGGCCTCTTATTTTGAGTTATAGATTACAAATGTAAGTAGGTTTGTTAGTTTTTAATGTGTTATAAAGAAAATATTTATTACTATATTCTCATAAGTCAAAACAAAAAATTTATTATAATAACTGTTATGTAAACAGATACTAACAGAACTCATATGGCCAATAACTGTCTATTTTTTGACTATAGGAAATATTTTATCAAATTTTGAATAATGTTTCAAATTTTCGAATAAATTTATTAGTTTATTTGCAATTGTTATAGTTTTTGTTTGAGCTAGTAGTACTAAAGATTTCAAGTTATTAAATTTAATTTTATAATTTACTTTATATAGTGCAGTTTTCCTTAAGTGGCCAATCACTGTATCTCTTACCCCTACATGCAGTAGGAATTTTGAATTAAAATTGCACGACCGGTCAAAATGACTGGTCTGGTAAATCTAGTGTTAATAATAATAATTTCACTGTGAGATTGTGCGAGCGAGCGCTTTCAAACACAACACAACCTATAGAACGCGGAAGACTTCCGCGTCATTATTATTGAGAAAATCAAATTCCGTCGTGCGCGTGTTGATTTATTTTCTAATCTCTGGTATTTATATTGTTTGACGTGTCAACGGCTCTTCTCTGTCTCTCTCTAAATATTTGTATTTTAATTTTTATTAATTTGTATTAAAAGTATTATTTGAAAATTCAGTGACGAAACAAACAAGTGACAAATCAATGAAAAAATTGATTCCATCCGGAAAAAATCAAATATCTCTAATTGTTTTAATAAGTTAGACAAATATTTGCTGCTTGTGTGTGTGTGCGCGCGCGTATGTGAGAGAGATTAGTTTACAATTTTTCACTGTTGCAGCTTAAATTTCATTGCGCATCTCGCATTATCTTTTGTTTTGCAATACACATGGTGTACCTATCAAACCGTTAAATTTTCAAGCTACGCACGTTTGACGCACGCGCATGTATGTGCGTTCTATTTTTTAGTCGTGTTCTCTTTTTACAATAAAGCTACATGTGTATAAACCGGCAATTCAACTGAAAAACATTCGTTATGTGTGAAAAGAGAGAGAGAGGATTTTCAAACATCTCTCTTTTTTTTTTTACAAATAAATATGAATATTTTCAAGCAGTTGTACGTCCCTGTTTGTTTATAAATTTGTTATCGTGCAAAACAATAAAAATAAAAGACGCGAATTGTAAAAAAAAATCAGTTCGAACGATCTCACCGTGTTTTCGAAAAACACGTAACAAATATATGCACATATAATCTTCCGTTATAAAACACAGATTTCTAGCGGAGGTGTCGAAGCGTCGCGGCGCGCATCGAAATGTGTCAACGATAAAGAATAAAATAGCAGTTGCTTTCCACAGTCTCTCGCGTCGTAATTACGTAGAAAGTAGTGTAGTTCAGATAGTCAACTCGCGCGTGTGC